CTGGGGCTCCCGGGCTCCCGGGGCCTGCTGGAGGAAGGGCACCGAGCCTCCCGCCTCCGCCCAGGCTGCCTCCCTCCTCTAATCAGCGCGGCTGAGAATTCAGCTCCACACTTGAGCACGCGCCTGCTCCCCCGAGAGCGCCCCAGAACTCATGCTGCTCAAATATGAAATGGCTCCTGCCCCCGGGGCTGAGTCAAGGAGGTACAAGCCAGAAACAGGAGCTGTAATTACCGGCTCTGATTAAGCCAGTCGTAGTAAAAAATAAAGCGCAGCACGGGCCTCTGGGCCTGCGAGGACACCCCGGCCGGCTGTCAGCTCCTCCTGTTCCGTCTCCGGGGTGCAGACTGCTTGGTTCTGACTCATTGCCCATTCTTATTCAGCCAGGTCCTTCGCTGAGCACCTACTATGTGACGGGTGAAAACGGATGCAGGTTGGAGACAGGAGCACACTGAACAGAGCACCATCGGGGGTCAAGGTCAGGAGTGGAATTCGGCTGTTCAAGGAAGAAACAAACGGAAGAACACGTGCATGGGAAGGTAATGGGGGGAACTGATCTAGGGCCTTAGAGCTGATAGGAAGACCTGAAGAAGCCACTTCAGCAAGAGTGCAGGGGGGTGAAGAGTGATCTAGGGAGCAGGAGCTGCCCGTTCAAAGGTCCTGGGGTGGGAAGGGGTGGTAGGAGGACTGAAGAGGGGCCCTGGGGCAGGATGAGGTTGGAGGGGGAGGTGACAGAGGGGACAGCAGCCAGACCTGGCAGCCTTGGCGGTGTGCTGAGCGGAACTGAAAGATCCTCAACAAGTTGCTCACACAATCCCAGAGTTCTGGCTGCGGAGCCCGAGGGTGGGGCTCAGGTGAGGGCCCTGCTGGGGCTGGAGGGCAGTGCCCTGTGTGGAGCGGGCCACGTCTCAGAGAAGGGGCAGGAGGCATGGTGTCCTGGCTGGGGACAACACGTGGGTGTCACCGGAGGGCAGCAGCACGTGCCTGCTGGGCAGAGAAAGGTTCCGATGGAGGCAGAAGCCTCCCCTGACCCTGTGCCCCTTGGCTCTAGGCTGAGACTGGGGGCAAAGGAGCCCTGGAGAACGTGGTGGAGGCCCTGCTGGAGGCCGGTGTGGGTGGCCGTGGCTGGCTTCCGGCTGCTCCGTCTCCACCTGGCCAGCGGGGCTCCAGCCTTTGCTCCTGTCTGGACCTCCAGGACAGTGGACAGAGGCTCCGAGCTCAGGCGAAGGGGCCCTGGCTCCCCGCTGACCTGCAGCACACCCTGGCCTCCCTGCCTCCTGTCCAGCCCCAAGCTGACCCAGGCAGGTCAGTAACCCGCCCCAGTCCGCCCTCGGTCCCCACCTGCACTCTCAGCATGCAGGCCGCTGGCCGCCGGTTTCTCTGACTTGTTGTGTTTATCCGCTGGCCTTCTACTTCACAGGCCTGCAGACGCC